GAAGCATCTGGGGAAGGGAGTGCTGCATGCAGGTACATGGGTCCTGGGCTGTGGGGGCTTTCCACTGTGGTTGTCACCTGAGCCTGGGCACCAGCTGCACTATACTCTTTAGCTGGGCCTCAAGTACCATAGTTGCCTCTGCTCCTTGAAAAACTAGTGGAAGTGCCACTGCTACCACTACCATCAGCCCATCCAAGTGGGATCTGTGGAACACTGCTTCTTCTTATCTTCAGCCTCAGATTCTCTTGGCAGGGCATGTCATTGGTGGAAACCAGGTCGTGTGTCCACACCCGAGCTGCAAGTGCCTTTGGGAGAATGCACATTTACCCTCGTTGTGTTCTGTCGTTTGAGGTAAATTCTACATCATGGAATGGAACAATGTCTCAATTGTAGTAAAGTTGGGGTCATATTAAAACCAATGGAATTTTTTACTTTATATAGTACATCATAGACAGAAGGAAGATATGTGAGACAGCAACACACATGTGAAGAAACAAATATCACACAGAATTTGCCAACATTAGGGTGATCATATCATTACAAGTAATAGGGAATACTGTATACAACTTTATGTTAATTTTTGTGACAACTTACTTGTATTGTAATCATTCCATGACATGCACAATTTGCCAACCTTATTAAAAAAGAAACAGACAATCTGAATATTCCAAAATGTATTAAAGTAATTTACACTGTAGTTTAAAGCCATCACCCAGATAAAACTTAGTTCAGATGGCTTCACTGGATAATTTTGCCAACTATCAAAAGAAGACACAATTTCAGTAGTACACAACTCTTCCATGAAAGGGAACAGGAATACTCCTAACTTATTTGATGAAGCCAGCATTATTTTGATATCAAGATCATACAAAACCATTACACATAAAGAAAACCAGAAGCCATGCATTGTGTAATACACCTGTAATGACAACCCTTAGGAAGTGGATGCAAGAGGATCAGCAGTTCAAGTCCATCCTAGACTACACTGCTAGACACTGTCTCAAAAAACAATAAAAGAAGGTGAAAATAAAACCACAGACCAATAATGCTTCATGAAAATGCATTCAAAAATTCTAAATATGATTTTACTGAATTGAGTTTTAAGAGATATTAAAGAATAATAACATCACAGCTAGTGTTTATCATGAGAATACAGTTGGTTTAAACATTTGGAAACTATTAAGTATAATTCAGCATATTTACATAATAAAAAGGAAAACTGTGTAGTCTAATTAGTCAATGGAGAATATGCATTTGACAATACCCAAAGTCCATTCCCTATTAAAAAAAGAAAGAGAGAGAAATAAAAGGCTCCCAGAACACAAATGGCAACTTCCTCAACCTGATTATGGATTTCTATGACAAATGAATGTATAACTTCATACTCAACAGTGAATCTGAGTGCTTTCTCCCTAAAACCACAAGAAAGATGTTTCTATTCTCACACATTTTGTTCAGTATTGGACTGGATGTGATGGTCTGGAAAAGTGGCAGGAAACAGAAATAAACAGCATCCAGACTGAGAAGAAGACGTAAACTCTCTTTATTCAGAGAGAACGTGCCTATCTGTGTGGAAAATCCACTGACAGAATCTACAGAAAAGCTCTTAGAACTAATATATGAGTTTAGCAGGTTTCAGGTATATAACATCAATATATAAAAATCAAGTACATATTAGATACTAGCAATGAACAATTAGAAATAAAAAATTAAATCCATATAAATTATAACTGGATTACAAATAATCAATATTAGAAGCAAATCTGGCAAAGATGTAAAAAACCTGTACCCTGAAAACATAAAACATCGCCAAAAGAAATCAATGACAAAAATATGTGGAAAGCAAGAGAGAGATTGTTTATGGGTCAAAAGACTCAGTATTTGTAAGGTGCCAGTTTTCCCCCAAATTGATCTACAGTTTCAATTCAATTCCAATAAAAGTCTCAGAAGTCCTTTATTTCCCCTAGAAAATAGCAAGATAATTTAAAAATTTCCATGGTAGTGCAAAAACTATAGCATAGTCTACACAACACTCCAAAGAAGAACAAACTTGGAGAATTTTCTCTATGTTATTTAAAAGACTATTTTAAAACTACACTAATCAAACCAGCCTGGTATTGCTTTAAAAACAGAAAATAGATTATTGGAACTGCATGAAGTCCCAAAATAAATCTACACGTTTATGGACAGCTGATCTTTGAAAAAGTTGCAAAAGCAATGTAGTAAAGTGGTCTTTTCAACAAATGATGCAGGACTAATTAGATATTTACACACAAAAATAAACTCTGATATGTACCTTGTACTACATACAAAAGTTGACTCAAGACCAACCAGAAACCTAAATATACCACATCAAAACTTAAAACTTCTAGAAGAAAATAAGGTTTTTGTGACCTTGAGTTAGATAAAGTTTCTTAGATGTCACCAAAAGCACAATCTTTTGTAGATGTCATCAAAAGCACAAGTTCTCTTTTATGAGAGAAAATTGATCAATTTAACATCATCAAAATTTAGAATTTCTGCTCTTCAAAAACGCATTGCTAAGAAAATTCAAAGGCAAACCACAGACTGGGGAAAATGCTTGCAAAGCATATACCTGAAAAAGGACTTGTATCTAAAATATACAAGGAGCTCTTGCAACTTAAGACAACTCAATAATAATAAAACAGGGAAAAGTTTGAACAGATTTCACCACAGAAGATATACAGGTGGCTCAAAAGGATATTGAAATATGCTTAATGTCACTAATAAAGTCCACATAAGGCCACAGTAAGATTGTACTATACACCTATTAGAACCACTAAAGTTAAAAAGATTAACCATGTCATGTTTTGACAACAATGCAGAACACCTGGAACTCTCATACACTATTGGTAGGAATGTAAAATGGCACAACCACTTTGGCAAAGAACTTGGTGATTTCTTTTTTTAAGTTGAATGTACCTCTACTATATTATCCATCCATGTCACTCTTTAATATTCACTCTAAAAGCAAACATACATTCCTATAAAGAATGTATGAGAGCCAGGCATAGTGGCTCACACCTGTAATCCTAGCTACCCATGAGGGATGTAGTGACTGGGAGGATTGCAAATGGAGGCCAGCCAGGGCAAAAAGTTCAAGAGACCCCCATCTCAACTAATAAAACCTGAGCATGGTGGTGTACGCCTGTCATTCCAGCTACCTGGGAAGCATAAATAGGAGGATTGTGGTCCAGGCCTCTGTGGGATTGTGGTGAAAATGAACTACAGAGGGATTTGAGGGAACTTTCCAGACTGCTCATAATCTAGATAGGGGGTTGAGCATGCATTTTTCAAAACTCACTGTACGAGGCACTTAAGATTTGTACATTTTGGCTTCTGTGCCATCTGGCCAGGGACCACTGTTCCTTCTTTTGTAGTGACTATTCTTTTCTTTCAATGAAGCTTTGCTGGGATAGAGGTGTGGCTCAAGTGGCAGAGCAACTGCCCAGCAAGTTCAAAGCCCTGGGTCCAAGCCCCAGCACTGCCAAAAAAATAAAATAAAATAAAGTAAAATGAGGCTTTGCTACTGTTTTGCAAAAAGAAAAAACAAAACCCCAAAACTGTACATTTCACTGAATGCAAATTTTACCTACAAATATAAAGAAAACAGTAAATAAATACTGGCCCCCATTGCTATGAATGCTGAAGTGTTTAGGGATGAAGTGTCCTAATGCCTACAAGTTATTTTTAAAGGCACCCATAAAATAGGAAATCAAGCAAATACAGCATAGTGCTAATTTTAGAATGTTATTGATTGGTACATGGGCACAATCCTCTCTATTCTGTATGTTGCAAAGTTCTCATAATAAAATGTAGTGATAAAATAGGAAAAATGTTGCTATCTAATGTATAAGATTACTTCAAGAATATTTAGGAAGTAGTGTATAATCTTATTGCTAATGATGCATTAAATGTGTATTAAAAACAAGTGAAGGAAAAAGGTAGACCACGTCCCTCAGAATTCAGTGTTGAGCATCACCTCCCTAAAACCTTTCTTTCCTCTTGCTCACTGCACTCCAGCTGCATTTTTCTTTTTGATCCTAGTTTATGCCAAGGTTGTTCATATTGCAGGGTGTCTGCACTTGCTGTTGTTTTTGCTTTTGCCTCACAGAAGTACCTTCCAACCTTCACTTCCAAACATCACCCTGACTGATGTTTTTCAAAGTTCTCGGCACTCTTCTTAGGCTTTTTTGTATTGATCCTTGCTTACTACTGGCTTCCTCAAGACACCAGTATCTTCAAGAAGGTAAGAAGGCAGTAACTTGGGGCTTAGGCAGTGCAGGGCAGTAGCATCATTTGTAGGCTTCTGTTGACGGGCAAAAAAAAAAAAAAGTCATCGGGAACTGTGTATTTTGATTCAGAATATAACCAGCTGTTTTGAAATTAACCTGAGTACTTACTTGCTGGTGTGTGTTCCCACAACACACACTCACAAGAGCTCTAGGGTGCTAGATGTGTGCCCCCTTAGGACTGGAAAGAGGTCTGGTTTTGCTCACGCTATGTAAACTCAGTGTCTGGGACAGCAAGAGCTCACAATATGACTTCATGAGCAACTTAGACCCCTGGAGTGAGGGGCTCCTTTCCTCAACGGTCCTCTTTTCTTGACACCCCCCCCCCAGCCCCACCACCATCCTGAAGGCTCCCAAGAGGGAGGGGTCTTTTCCGTTCCTTCATTCTCTCATTGTCTGCTAGTCTGTTCGCTCATTCATTGCATTTTTACAATCTTTCCTCTTCCTCCACCTCCCCTCCCCCAGCTCATCCAGGCACCCAGTGCACGCCTTGACCCTGCGGTCCCGCCTGCCCCACCTCCTCACTCTGCCCGGCCCCCAGACCGCCCCTTTCCGGTCCGCCCCCTCTCCTGACCAATAGAAGCCGTCAGACCGGGCGGGGCAGAGGCCGGGGCGGGGCCTCGCTTCCTCAGTACCCCTGGCGGCGCCCCCGGCTCCGGAAACGCGCCGCGGGGCTACTGCGCTTGACCAGACGCTGGCAGTTCTGTGGCGCTTCCTGCCACGCCGGGCCTGCCTGGGTTGTGCCAGCTCTGCTCCTCTGAGGGCCGCGCGACAGCCGCCTCCTGGCCTGGGTGAGCGTGCGGGCCATGGGAGGGACGTGCGAGCCCGAGTAATTGTGAGGGAGGAGGAATGATGTGCGGGCCCGAATGAGCATGCGGGGCCGCGGGAAGATGTGCTGGGGGGCCAGGGTGAGTGTGCGGGCCGTGGGAGAGTATTGGGGGAGGGGGCATCTCAGTGCGTGTCGACTGCTCGGCCTTGGGGCAGGCTAGAGGCCGAAGGGGCTGGGTCCCAGATGGTGGCTGTGATGAGGCCCCAAGCCTTCCCGTGGAGGGCGGGGGTTGGGGGGCTGTAAGGGCGGGAATCGCGGATGTGCGGAGGCCTATGCTGCTCTTTGGAGGGTGCTGCGGTATGGGAACCGGTCAGAAGCCGAGAGAGAGAGACCCCCCCCTTCCCACCAAGCCCCAAGTGCAATGGAGGCCATAGGGAGGGGCTTAGGGGGGAAGGGCTTAATTAAAGGACTTTTCCCCAGTATAGGGGAAGGATTGAGGCTCATTCTGGGGCTCTGGGAATGATGGTTATTGCTGGGAGGAGACATTCCTTTCCATTTGGGTGGGGGCCGAGCCAAAGCTTGGCAGGGAGGATGGGGGCAAGTAGGTTGCCTAGGGCACAAGACCTGGCAGGGTTAGAGAGAAGGAGAAAGCCCTTGCTGGGTGAAGAGAGCTCAAGGCCCTCCATCTGAAGAGATCTCTTCTTTTACTTTTGCCCTCCTAGGGGCCACCATCTCTCCCTACTTTGGTAGTGTCTCCAGTCTATATTTGGGTGATTAATTACAGGTCTTTTTACTCACAGGCATACTCCGGCATACACTCACTGCTCTGCTGCCTAAAGCCCATGGTCCCTTTCAAACACTCCTCCCATTCTCAAGGGAGAATGGTCCCACTCTATTCCAACTGATACCCTCCAGCCAGCATTGGCTCAGCCAGATAGGCAGCCCCCTCCAAGTCTCTTTGGTCAGTAAAGCATTTCCTCTTTAACCTCAGCCCCAACATTTTCCTCTACTAGAGGATTTCAGATGGGATTGCTGGAATAGCACCTCACCAAGGTACTAATGCAGCCAGCCTCACTCCTGCCCTCATTAGGCCTTTCCATAGAAACAACATACAGTGTCTGGCACAGTCCAGTAAATTCCCCCAAAATGTTCTTGGATCTACATTTAGAATTCTCTGGAGCAGAGATTTCTAGCCTTATGTCAGGAAAGACCCCTTGGAAAATCTGTTAGAAAGTCTGAATTCTTTTTCCAGAAATCTATCAGTGTAGACTAAATGGCCTCCCATTTCCGGTAACTCCTGGGCGGGACCCCTGTCTAACGTGAGCTAGAAACAAGGGACCCTTCAGATTCTAGACAGGCCCCCCCTGGGGTAATTGTTCCCACCCAGACCTGCTGCTCTGCAACTTGATTTTTTTTGTGTGTGTGCTATTTGGGTTTGAACTCAGGGCTTCCCACTTGCCAGGCAGATGCTCTACCACTTGAGCCATGCCTCCAACCCTTTTTACTCTGGTTATTTTGGAGGCAGGGTCTCATTTTTGTCCAGGTTGGACTGCAATCTTCCTATTTTAGGCTTCCCTCCATCACAGGGATGGCAGATGCCTGGCTTTTTTCCATTGAGATGGTGGGGGGGGGGGTCTCGAAATTTTTTGCCTGAACTGATCTGGAACCATATCTCTCAGTCTCAACCTCCTGTGTAGCTTAGGAATCTGTTGAAGGCTGAGTTTTGGGCTCAGAAACTACCTTTACTGGTTGCCAGACATCCTCAGGATGCCCTTGGGATGGCAAGCATGCACCACCATGCCCAGTGATTAGTCAAGATGGGGTTTTTGAACTCTTTGCCCAAGCTGGCCCCGAAATGGGATCTTCCTGACCTCAGCCTCCCAAGTAACTAGCATTATAGATGTGTGTCACAGGCTCCCAGCTCCACCTGAATTCTTACTAAACTCTAAACCAGGTTTCTAACCCAATGATCCAGCCCTTCTAAACCTGCTTGGACTCAATGGTCCAGGACTCCTTGAAATTTGCATACATCCCACCCCACCCCCAGTTTAGAATCTTTTACATACAGGCAGTGTAACCTCAATGAGACTATGCTTAAAATTTATTTTGATTTTTAGTAAGATGCCATGCTTCTTCTCGGGAAAATGGGAACATGAACCTTTTCTCAATTAAGTACAACAAACACTACAAGATCTCCTTCTGGTCTACCTTCTGGCTTTTTTATAGAAGGGAAAGAAGATGGAAACCTAAACAGAGAGAGACAGGTGCCCAGGAAAAGTGAGAGAGAAAACAGATGTCTTCCCCACCCACGAATACAGAAAAAGACACACACAGACACAAATATCCCAAGAGAAACAGACTTTCCTGGTGAGACATCCTCCTTTTTGGCCCTTTAGTATTCTACTTCGAGTAGCAGCCAGCTTACAGAATATGGGATGGGCCTCAAATGGGCCCCTGTGTTCACCTCCTGGCCTGCCAGGTTGAGGAACCATAAAGGCCAGGACTGGCTGCAGCTTAGAACCCCACTCAACATTTGCATCCTGGGACTCATTATAGCATTTAGGACCTCAGCAGTGGGTGTGCAATGGCACAGCCTGACCTGCCACTGAGTACTCACTATACAAGAGGAAAGTTTCCTGGAAGGTACACACATGCATCTACTTCTGTTCACTTGGATTATTTCAATCCAACAGGTAAGACCTTAACTGCCAGACTAATCACCTGGAATTGTTCGGAGACAAGATGAGTCATCCCTGTGTGTCTTTTTTGGGTAAGTCTCAGTTGTACTGTTAGAAGGCCCATACATGGGGTACAAGACAGTGAAGAGTGTTGTTCCTGTTCTGGAAGCATTTATTTCTCTCTCTCCAGCGTTGCTGATTTATCTGCCCCTAGACATTTCTAGCAAACCTAGAGATGCAGCTGTGGGGAGAGAAAACATCCAGTAGGAGAATCCAGGGGCTCATCAAATGGGATAGGGAGCTGAAAGCGACTGTGGGGCCTAGCTCTCCTTGTGAGTGTTTACAACCTTTGGGGTATATTTGCTTTGGCCCAGAACTGAGCTGAACACCACAAGCCACCTGTTACGTTCTGGGTAGACTCAAGCTTTATGGCCTGAGGATTTTCTGCTACAGGTCCTTATTTAGATGCTCTAGGGAGTCCAGGGCATCCCTGAGAAGCTTCTAGAAGCACCCAGGTGGGTCTTGTTTGGGTGACCTTGCTGCCCCTACCCTGCCCCACTGTCCAGGGAAGGACAGCAGGTGTCTAAGGAGGTTGTGTAGTGACTATCTGTGCATTGGGATCTATTGAAAGTTGAGCTTTTGGGCTCAGAAACTACCTTTACTACTTGCCAGACACTCTAATTATTGACCACTTTTGTGACATGGGTTGGTTTTTGTCTTTGTTGAATTCCATCAGATTTTTATTCTTTCAGATCAAAGTGAAATGATTATTTTGGATCTCTTAGTGTTTCTGATTCCATGCAGTAAATTTAAATACATTGGTTTGTTCAAATTTAACATTGTGCACATACCAGGATGATTTGTTCATTCACATGAGCTCTTGTATTTTAGAAAGAATAATTTTTCAAATTGTCCAGCAGTAGGTTAACACTGACATCATTATTGTCCTTGTTCTAGCAGCAGATGTTTCTTGAACAGCTGCAGCATACGTGGTGCTTGGCTAGATCCAGAGTGGAATCTGCAGTCGACCTTGAGAGAGCTTTCGTTGCTCTGGGAGTCGGTAGTCTTTAGGCTATCTTCATATCCTGTTTGAAGATGGGGATTAGTGCTTACTTAAGAGCTGCAGATTGGTTTGAACATGTTTCTCCTACTTCCATTTCCCAATGATAAGCAGAGTACACTTTTCGAGATTCTTTGAGATTCAGGGTGTGCTTTTCTGCTGAGTGAAAGTGCCTTATGGTCAAGGTCAGCATTACCCTTTGTGTCCATGGGAGAGTATAATGATTTCCTTGTTCTATCTGGAATTGCTTTGACCTGGCTCCCCAAGGATCCCCTTGATCAGAAAACAGTGGACACCACATTTGTCACTTGTGTCACAGCATCCAGCTTCTTTTCCAAATTAGTTCCACCATTTTAAAGTAGACCAGTTGTACAACATGGATTCTAAGTGTTCTGATTGTCTTTGGGATTGATGATAATTTTATTTTTAACTGTACTGGGATTAATGTGTATTATCTTTTTAAAAAATGATCTTTCTTTGCTTCTGAAGTTCTTTTACCTGATACAGTTGGTTAATTATACAGAGTTTAGCTTCCTTTTGTGAAAACAGGGGGCTGCTTTCTTCCCTTCCCACTTTATGAGTACCTTCTAAATTAGCTCTGTGTGTCCAAGGGCTCTGTTACTGTGGGTGGTGATCACATAGCTGCTGAGAGCTGAAGTGCTCTCAAGCCAAATCTCCAGGGTAAACTAGTACAGGAAGGGCCACTCCTATTGCTACATGGGAAAGGATAATTAACAATTCATCTGGGAGTTGTAGCTCCAGGACCTCAACAGTTAATCATGCCAATTAAGTAAAAACACTTCAGTAGGATTCACCCAATTAAAAGGAACACTTCGGTAGGATTTGCTCAATTAAACGTGGGTGGCTTGGAAGAGTGTGTGTGTGTGTGTGTGTGTGTGTGTGTGTGTGAGAGAGAGAGAGAGAGAGAGAGAGAGAGAGAGAGAGAGAGAGAGAGAGAGAGAAATGTGTCTATCTTGCTATTTTGTGTAGTGAGGATCTGCAATGGCGTGTTACTAGGATGATTTAAATGCAGCACCCAAACACCCATACATACCATGAGGCTTCTGCAGTGCTCACTATTGGCTTGTCTTCAGTTATAGCCTGGGGTTACAAGGATTGCATATTATTTCTTTCTCCTCTGGTGTGGCTCAAAAAGTCACAAATCTTGAAAGCTGGACCTTAAGCAAGCCACTTAAACTTGTGGATCTATGGTTTCCTTCTCCATAAAATGGAGATGGTAAAAACCATAGATTGTGATAATTAAATTATCACACAGGGAGACACACAGCTCCAAATATGCATACTAAGTGCTCCATAAATGGAAGCTCTCTCCATTTAACATGCTATTCCCACACACATTGATTCATTCGCTCTACAATATATCATATACCTTTGTGGTGCCAGGAGCTGCTACAGATGCTGGGATTCAGAGTTCACATAAAGAGAAGGCCCTGTACTATTGGAGTTGGTATTTTTCTTGAGAAAAATAAGCAACTTCATAGGAAACTTTTTCATTAGTGAAAATGTTTTTGAGTAAACTATGTTGGGTCTGGAGAGTAGAAAGATTTTGACACTTGAGTTAAGGCCTGAATTATGAGAAGGAGCCTCCTATGATAAGCTGTAGGGATGGTGTTCTTGGCAGATTCACAAGCTTTAGGGGCCACAGCCTTGACATATTCAGAACTGCATGAAGGCCACTGTGTCTGGATGGGATGCAGGATATATGATTGTGGGCTGTGCCAGAACCTTGAATGGTAGGTAAGGCCTTAGGTTGCTGGCCTGAAGGCAGCTATAAGAGATCTGTAACTGCTCATCTTTCTCAAAAGGTGCATATATGATGCGATATCCTCTCTCCATTTCATTTGGCAGCCAAACATCAACATTAATTGGAAATGAATTGCTAAAAATGAATTATACAAGAAATTTGTGACCAGTTCATTTTATACCAGAAGCCAAAGTCAAATTAAGATATTGAATGTGTACCAGGAAGAATTCAAGCAAGGTGCCAGTGGCTCATGTCTGTAATCCTAGCTACTCAGGAGGCAGAGATCAGGAGGATTGCAGTTCAAAGCCAGCCCAGGAAAATAGCTCACGAGACCCTATCTGGAAAAAACCCATCACAAAAAAGGACTGGTGGAGTTGTTCAAGGTGAAGGCCCTGAGTTCAAACCCCAGTACCACCAAATATAAATAAATAAATAAAAGAATTCAACAAGCTAGAGGAGCCCTTCCCTGGTGACACTGGACACAGAGGGCTGCGTGCAGAATACCTGGGGATGAATTCACACATTGGAGGAGCACCTGTGCTGGGAGCCACTTAAAAATGGGAATTGGGCTTCCAAGAACTTTGGAGTCAAATTAGGCCTTCTCCCCATACCTGTTCACAGTACTGATAGCTTGTGAGGAGGAGCTCAGGAGGTCTTTCTAGGCTTTCTGGTCATCCCGCTTCACAGACTATCCACAAATTCCCACCAGCCCTTCTTCCTTGTGCTTGATTTGCACATGTGGGCATTCCAGGAAGTGTTGGTCTTTTGACTGTCCACAAGAGCCACTCTCCTGTTGTTTCCTTGGCCTCATCCCTTGTCCTCTTGCATGCTGAGCATCTTTCTTATACCAAGTCTATCAAAATCTTTAAAAATTGTTCTTTTAGGACTGAGGGAATGGCTCAAGAAGTAGAATATTTGTCTAGCAAGCACAGGGTCCCGAGTTTAAACCCAAGTACTGCCAAAAAACAATATTGTTCTTTTCCCATACCAACAAAATTCAGCCAGGTTACTGAACCTTCACACATTATAAAAACAGAAGACTTTTCTAGACCTTGACTCACCTCTGTGTGGCCACACACACATTTAAGTGTAAATGTGCTTATTCCAGCTGCCAGTCACTCTCAGTCTTTTTTTCCTCTGAAAGTCCAAATATACTTAGTTATCTTCCCCCTTTCCTTTAAAAACCCTATGGGTTCCAGTTATTATCTCTGCCTATATCTTCTATGAAAAATTCACATTTAAGCCCTCTAGTTTTCTTCTTGCTCTGAGTTCTGGGACTCTTCAGTGGTATATTCAGAGCTCTGAGCCACATTCATCACCTCCCCCATATGATATTGGGATTATTTAGACTCTTCCTATGGGTTATAACATTATTTTTCATACTTTTACTTTAACACATGTGTTTTTTTTTTTTTTGTCTTTTCTTTTTTGGTGCTGGGATCGAACCCAGGGCCTTGCACACGCTAGGCAAGCGCTGTACCAACTGAGCTACATCCCAGCCCCATCTGTGTCTTTATTTGAAGAGTTTTTTCTTTTGGTAGGCAGCACATAGGCAAGTCTTGCATTTTTAAATACAGTCAAACAATCTCTGCCTTTTCTCTAGAGTGTTTAGTCCATTTATATTTAACTTAATTATCCATGCAATTGAGTTTTAGTTTGCCATCCTGCTATTTATTTCTATTTATCCCATCTGTTCTTTTTTTCTTTACTTTTTTTCTTTTGGATTGTTAACATTCACCAGAGTCTTGGAGGTAAAACACACAATCATATATATTGCTTCTACATGTTACAAACCCACACTATCTTGTTACTATTTTTCCTTGAAATAATCAATTATTTTTTGAAGATTTTAAAAATGAAGAAGTGAAAGTCTTTTATATTTCCACACATATTTACATTTCTGATGTTCTTCATGCCTTTGTGTAGATCCAAGTTTCCACCTGTTTTCATTTTTCCTTTTCCCTCAAAACTACCTTTAATATTTCTTATGATACAGACCTGCTGGTGACACATTCTCTTGGCTGTTATCTGAAATTTTCTTTTAATTTTGCATTTTTTACATTTTTATTAGCATATATTAGTTGTACAGGAGGTTTCATTGACATTTACATATATGCTTACAATATATCTTAATTAGATTCACCTCCTCCCTCATTCTCCCTTCCCTCCCTTTCCTTGTCCTCATTTTTGAAGGAAAATTTCCCTGAATATAGAATTCTAGATTGACAGTTTTTTTTCTTTTAGTACTCAAAAATGTCATCCAGTTGTTTTTTGGCTTGCATGTTTTCCAATAAGGAGTCACTGACTATTCTTATTTTTGTTTCTCTGTATACTCTTTACTCATCATTTCTTCCCTCCAGCTACTTTAAATTTTTTATCACTGTTTTTCAGAAAGTTGATTGTGATGATGTCTCTCTGAGCTTCATTTGAGGTAGTTTCTAGATGTTTCTTTTGGTTCTTTTTATATCTTCTATTACTCTCTTTGTGTCCCTGTTTTTCTTTCAATACTTGTGCAACATAGTTAAAGTAACTTTTTTCCCTTTGAGTTCTAGCAGTCATTTGTGGATATTTCTTTTGACTGATTATTCTCACCATAGGTCACATTTTTGTATTCCTTGGCATTTCAATAATTTTCCATTGGATGTTGGACATTTTAAGGATTATGTTATTGAGTATCTGGACTTTGGGAGTTATGAGTAGTTTATTCATGGATCAATTTGATCCTTTTGAGGCCAGTTTTAAGTTTTTGTAGGACAGGTCTTGAGTAGCTTTGCTTCTAAGGATAGATCAGTCTTAGTACTGATGCACAGTCCCTCTGTATCACTACTGAGCGTCCCAGGTGATCACAGAGCACTCTATGTTGGTTGGTCAGACATTGACCATCTCCCTCTCTTCATGTGTCCTAGGAATTTTTCAGCTTATAGTTTCCTGGTCCTTCTTTTCCCAGCCCTTTGGAGTTTTATTCTATACTTAAAGACGCAAGGGAAGCCTTGTGCATATTTTTACAGTCTTTTTCTGCAGAGCATAGTCCTTTAGGAACTCTGCTCTATGACTTCTGAGTACTGTCTGTGTGTCCTCAAGTTGGCAAAGCTGCTAAGTTGTTTGTTTTTACCCTCCCCACACTCTCCAGGCAGAGAGCTGGGGTGATGACAGGGCTCACCTCATTTGTTTCTCTCAGGGATCATGATACTGTGCTTCCTAATGCCCAGCATCTCAAAGCTGGTGTTTCACATATATTTTCTTTTGTTTTCTACTTGGTTATGGCAGTATATAAAATCTATTCCTTGTTACTCAGTTATGGCTATAAGTGGAAATTTTCATCCATCTCTTTTGACAAAACATATTTAAACTTATGTAAAAGTCTTTCTGGAGTGGTTGGCTTTGTAGTACTTATGCTCATGCCAAAATAGTTACTTTCTTTTTACTTCATTCTGAGTTGACCTCAGAACATGAACTGTGTGACTATTTCTTGGAACCCACTGAATGGGAGGCTTATGGTACACAGACATCAGTGGTAGTCTTGCAATATTTCACTTATTTTGCAACTTGGAAGTAAAAGATAACTTGAATATATTGTTCAGAGCTTGTATTTGCCAACTTAGTGTTTGAAGATCTTTTCTGTGAGGCTGGTTTTTCCAAACTGTTCTCTCCAAACTTCATTTTGTTGAATAATATAAGAGAGAGTTTCTCCTGTGCAGCTGACTCTTTCACCTGGTGAATTACTTCAGAGCAGCGTGGCTTTTAAGGGACTCACCATTGGTCAAGAAACCCAGGTTCCTTCTCTTTGTTGCCTCTCCTCCCTCCAGTGGCCTAAGCCAGTTTTGTGTTGCGTTCTACAAAGCTGGAAAGGACATCTCAGCTCCTAGTTAGTTCTGCTGATATTTTAGTATGCTTCCCTCCCGTGCAGTGTGAGTAGTGACCTCTTCGAGGCTTGCTATAAGGGAAACCTGTGGCCAACCTGTCTCTGAGAGCTGGTCTCCCTGCCATTGGCTCTCTGTAGCTACCCTCCAGCTCTGCCTGGGTTAGCATTTGTCTTATCTTGACCCTCTGGCCTGCCTATGCTAATTCTTTATCAGCCTACTTTCCCATTGTTTGAAATACGTTTTCTCAGGCATACCAATGCTCTAGCTTGTCATTGAGCCAGCATGTGAAAGAGAAAATAAAATTTAAAACCAAGGAACAGGAAATTGCCAGTCTCTTCCCCAGGAGACCCAGAGATAGGACAATTGTCACTCATGGCTTTTTTCACTTTCCTTAGCTCCACCTGCTCCCCAAGGTCTTGTCCTTCCCCAGGATGGAACCCCAGGAAACCAGGTCCTGGCAGTCCCTCTTGAGATGCCGGAGGCCCAGGTGAGCTGTGCTGCCCTCTGTCTTGCTTGGGATTCTGTCACTGCTCCCTGATTTTGGCCTCGGCCTCTGCCTCTTGCCCAGCATGACACACAGCAGGGTGTGAAGCCCAGCTTCTGCCTTCCTTCCTGCCTTCTGATTCTCTCCTGGAGGCTACCAAGGAATGGGTGCCCACTGGGCCTATAATTCCTATCTTGCAGATGGGAGAACTGAGTTTCTGTATGGAAAAGTGATTGAACTGAGGTTCCTTGGGAAAGACTGTGGGAAGCCAGTGCTGGGCAGCCCAGGTCTCCTTGTGCTTGGTCATGTTTTTCCAGGACTTCTTGGGGCTTATGGTTGAACCTCCACATCAGCAACACACACACACACACACACACACACACACACACACACACAGGCCTTGCCTCTTGCCCCTGGCATTACTAATGCCTCATTGTGACTAGATGGAAAGTCTGATTATTTCCTGGGAATTCTTTCAGGATTTGATGCCATTTGAAGTGGCATGGCACCTCACAAAAAGGGAGTGGTTGAGTCTGAATCCTGAACAGAAGACTCTGGCCTATCACGGGAATGTGACCTCCATGGGTAAGGATGACCCTAGCCCTTCTCCATATTTGCCACCTTCTGGGAGTGGATTGGGAACTCATGGCCGCCCCATACAGCCTGACTTTGTACCCAGGTTGTAGGGAAATGTAAAAGGCCTGCCACACTCAACACCTCCAAATTGAACACAAGCTCCCCCAACTCCTCATGGCATGGAAAGAGCCATGCTCAGTCTTTCATTGGAAATAGCATTGTCATTTAATATATTATCTTCAGATAGAGGACATACCAGATATTAAGCTGATAAGAACAGATACTACACTTGATCTTAACCAAAAGACCAAGAAGTGACTAGAATAATTTTTAACCTACAAATTCTGTGAATCTCACGGCCATTTGATTGTATTTTACTGTTGGGAGGAGTGGAAATGATGAAGCTCTTGTTCACCCCTCAGGGTCTGCATGTGAGGGGGGGTATTTTTTAGGAGAAGAGACTGTTGCAAGTTGGATTTGGGAGTTATGGAAGTACTCTGGTCTGGGAAGAGCATGAAGTTCAGTGTGTGTTCACTGTGGGACAGACAGTAGGGAAAGTTCAGCTCCTCAGGATGCCACCTGCCATACCACTGGAGACTCCCCAAGGGGGTCCAGAGCCTGCCTTTCTCCAGTCCCCAAAAGTAGCTATCCCTTGGGACTGTATTTGAACTGTATGAAAGGCTTGCCTAGGGTCACAGTCAACCCAGTCTTTGAGGATTTTGGGGGGGTTACCCTTTGAAGTCCTTGTCCCAGTCATCCAATCTGATGTCTTCTGCAGCTACCTCTGTAACCCATTTTCTTTTCCACAAGCAGCAGTTCCTGTTTTGAATCCTACCTTGGTCTCCCATCTAGCACAAGGACAGGTGCTGTTAGTATCAGACTCATCCCTCAGCACAGACCAAGGTAAGCAACCTGGTGAGTGAAAAAGAAATCTAAAGAAGCATGGGGAAATTGGGGTGAGGCCCAACTGAGCTATGTAGGTTCAAGTTAGAGTTGGAGGGTTCGGCTGAGCTCTTGGGGTTGAGGTTAGGATTGGGAAGATCAGCAGAGCTTGTGGGGTCTAGGATTAGGTTCGAGAGCCAATCTGAGGCTTTGGGTGTGTGTGGCTGTTCTCCCATCAGAAGAGGAGGCCTTCTCAGGACCCCTTTAGTAGACATGTCCAACAGTCAGGCCCTCTGACCCTTTCTTCTGGTGCTTGCTTCTGGAAGCAGCCAGGTCCAGTGTTCAGCAGCTGAGTCTGGGGAAAGAATTATTGACAAACATGAGTAACCACCATCCTGAGCCCTCTGCAGTCACCTTCTGCAGACTGGCAGTGTCTCATGTTTATTCTTTCAGAAAGCACCCCTGTGACCCACCAGCAGACCATGGGGGAAGAAGCCCAGCCACAGGAGATGGCCTCCACGAGTTCCCCGAAGGCCAGTGACCCCAGTGCTGAGGTCAAACAGAAGTGGGACTTTGAGGGGAGGGGAGGGAGCCCATCACATCTTCCCATAGAACACCATTTTGCATGTAAAGAGTGTGGGGACACCTTTCGGCTGAAAGTGCTCCTGGTTCAGCACCAGAGAGTTCACAGTGAGGAGAAGGGCTGGGAGTGTAGTGATTGTGGGAAGGTCTTCAGGGGAGTGTCAGAATTTAATGAGCATAGGAAAAGCCACGTGGTCCCGCAGCCCCGGCCGGGCCCCAGTAGGTCCCTGGAAGATGTCCTGGAAAAGAGGGAGCAAATGGAGAGGGAGGCAACGCCCTTTGAGTGTGAGGAGTGCGGGAAAAGGTTTAAGAAGAACGCAGGCCTTAGTCAGCACCTGAGGGTGCACAGCAGAGAGAAGCCCTTTGATTGTGAGGAATGCGGACAGTCCTTCAAAGCCAACACCCACCTCTTTCGACATCAGAAGCTTCACACTTCGGAAAAAACCTTTGCCTGCAAGGCGTGCAGCAGGGATTTCCTAGATCGCCAGGAACTTCTCAAGCACCAGCGGATGCACACAGGCCACCTGCCCTTCGACTGCGACGACTGCGGCAAGTCCTTCCGAGGTGTCAACGGCCTGGCCGAGCACCAGCGCATCCACAGCGGTGCCAAGCCCTATGGATGCCCACACTGCGGGAAGCTCTTCAGGAGGAGCTCAGAGCTCACCAAGCACAGGCGGATCCACACTGGCGAGAAGCCATACGAGTGTGGCGAGTGCGGCAAGGCCTTCCGCCAGAGCTCCAGCCTACTGGAGCATGCGCGCATCCACAGCGGCGAGCGGCCATACGCCTGCGGAGAGTGTGGTAAGGCCTTCCGTGGGCCCTCTGACCTCATCAAGCACCGGCGCATCCACAGTGGACTGAAGCCCTACGAGTGCGACAAGTGTGGCAAGGCCTTCAGGAGGAGCTCGGGTCTGAGTCGCCACCGGCGCATCCATAGTGCGGCCAGGCGCTGCGAGTGCAGCGAGTGTGGTCGCGTGTTCAAGAGGCGCTCGGCGCTGCAGAAGCATCAGCCCACTCACCGCGAGTAGATGCCCATGCCGTGGAGGGCCATCACAGGTCCGCAGAGACCGTGGCAGTGTCAAAGGAGATGAACAGTTTTGTAACGCTTATCTATTTTACCGTGTGAGAGGTTGAACCAATTTATATTGCCACCAGCAATTTCTAAGTGTCCACGTTTCCCATTATGACCATCAAGACTGGCTTTTACCATTTTAACTTAGTTGACCTGGCAAAAAGTACTGTTAAGGTATTTAAATCCTCCTGCCTTGAGTGAGAAGGAGAAGCTGGATGTGGGGATTGAGAGGGAGCTGGGAAGTCATCTACACCAAGCTCCACACCCAAGGGAAGCAAACCACAGATGTTCAACCATGACCTCAACAAAATATGATCCCATCTTTCTCGAAGACAAGAGTGCCCCAAAGGTTTTGGCCTACTTGAATTTATAAATATTTAGGGATGTAAATAGAAGACTCAAATGTCTTATAATATTTAATTTATTAATTTAGTTATACATACATTATTATAAATCACATATTATATAGGATAATATATTAATTTAGAGAATACTCCTTTTTTCCATGCTCTGTTTTATGAAATCATTTTAATTCCTCACATGCATTTTTGACCTCACCATCTTCACTGACATGGGAACCCCTTTGAGTCACCAGTTTTAGACCACATGCAGTCACTTCTATCAGAAGTACGTATGGTAACACTGTGACAATCCCTGCATGAGGCTCTCACCAGAAATTTCCTCCTAAGCCATAAGAACATTTTCACAAAATGTTAGAACAGTTGTCTTGAGTGTTTTTTAGGTAGCCCTATAACTCTACTACAATATAACCACTTAAGGTGGTGCTTTTCCTAATGACCTTTTAAAGGGCATCTTTTAGCATCTAAAACATTAGTCTTAGGTTACACTCCTAGTAAAAGTTAGTGAACCAAGGTTAAATTTTTTTGCCTCTGTGTTTCATAAGCCAGTTCAATCTGTTGACCCCTCTACACACCCAAAACAAGCATCAGTTGGGGTTTTGGCCTAATGGGTCTTGCCCTTATATGGTACTACTTTGAAAATAAAGTAGGTGAGAGAGCAACCACAAATAAGAGTAACATCTCTGGGACTTAAGGGTAAGGCGATGCCTCCTCATTGGGAACAAGAGTCTCTCCTGGTATTGGGCGTACATGGTACTTCTTCAATCCTCCATTTGCTTCTCTGTAAAGTGGAGGGGGCAAGCGCAGTACCTACCTCCTGAGGTTATAAGAACTGCCATCATGCCTGCAGAGCACCGCACATACTGCCTGGCATGGAGGTACGCACTCACTGAAGGTCATCTGCTGTCACCATCGTAGTTATTGCTGCCATCTTACAGCTTGTTAATACCAGAACTTGGGATGGACCCCAGGCCTCTTGACTATTAGTCTCATCCTTCTTTAATGCAGTGACTTAAATACTATTGTTTTCTTGCATGCAAATTGTACGCTCATCTCCTTTGACTAATTATCAGGTTGCCTTTAGATATATTAACTACATAGCAGTTCTTTATATATTGATTGTGATTTTCTTTTCCAATTTTTATTGCTTTGCTCTTTGTAGCACTTTTATTATATTTTTGTTGTGCAAGCTTTTGATTTTTACGTATCCCAGCCTTCGTTTTTGTCCATTAAGTCGTGGCTTTCGTTGTTTCAGTACTTAGATATGATGACATTTTCTTCTAGATTTTAATTACAAAAAGTTGAATTGCCTGCCTATCAGAAGGTGAATGCACCAGGTAGGCAGGCAGGATGGGAATTGGCCAGAAAAGTAGGCCCATTCCTCATCTACGATGCAGACTCTGTACATCTGTGGGCAGCACTTGGCTATCCATCCTGGGCTCTGAGGCACCCTAGAAACATGTCCATCACACATTGCCCAGAGCACTCTGACTGCTCATCAGTATACCCCTAGCCACCAGCAACAGGGCTTGGCCTCACGTAGATCAGCAGTGTGGTTCAAACTTGGTCTGACAGCAGCTGGCCATCCTTCAACTCCCAAGCCTGGGCAATGCCGGCATGGATTCGGTGACTGAGCAGCAGATTCACCTAAGAAACATCTCCTCGGACACAAGAAGATTCACCTGACTGATGTCGTCACATGGACCACATCCTTCTCCTATTGAGTGACTCTAGAATGAGAAAGAGATCAGTTTGGTGGCTTCTGCTTTGGGCAGCTAGGGAGAATTTTGCCCATATGTGCTAGCATGACTTCCTGCAGCCACACCTAAGAGGAGCAACAGAACAGAGGCTCAGGAAGGAACTGTGTCTCTCCAATGGCCTGCATGTCATGCTGATACAAGCTTGCTCCACCAGGCCTGGGCCTGAATTTGCAATGGCTATGCCCAAGAGGGACAATAAAGCAGGGTTTTGGAGAGCAATGAGGCCATTCTGATGATACGTGTGGCATAGAAATAGGAACTGGTCATCCTGGGGTTGGGCTGTCACTCTGACAGTCTCCTCCAGGAGGAATAGCAGCAAGGGCTGGCAAAGAATCAACCACTCCAGGGTTTTGGTGTGACTTTCCAGTAGCTGTGCCCAGTGGGGAACTGGAGGACCCGGACAGGAAGCATGCTTTTCTGACAGTCTACCAAGGGGAGGTAGGGCTCGCTAGCAGGCACAGCCTGGAGGGGCTTCCCGGGCCCCATCCTGGGAAGTAAGGTCTGATGGTAACCTCCATGATTGTGGCCAAAAGGGCCTCTTGAATGGCCCACAGGCCACTACAGTGGCCCTGTGGGATATCTCCATCCTGACCCCCAGGATGGAGAGAAGTCAACAGCACTTATTACACAGTGATTCCTTTTGCTCTGTGGGCTTAGTTCTTGTGGTAGTGTGAATCTGGCTGAAATCACTTAATTTATCACTGTTCTCTTTTCAAGCTGTTAGGACTTGTTTTATATAGCCATCATGGATTGGGTAAGGAATGTTGACAAGTACGAGGGCAAATCTGGCCCCTTTGCCCTGGAAGACTCTTACCATTTCTTGCTCATTCACTCATCATTTTTCAGGTTTGATGAAAGATCTCGTTGAAGTCTAGATTAATGCTAACTTGGAACATAGCCTAGAGGTCACCACTCCCAGTCAGGATGTGGTATCCTGGCATCCCTTCCTGCCCTCCTTTACTTTTTTCTAGTTTGGGTTCTATAATTTTTCTCTCAAACAAATCCTTTTTTAGAGTTAACACTAAAGATCGTGTCTTTTCCATCACTGTTGCCAGATCAGCTTTTCATGTTGTTGGCAGTGAAATCCACGTTCCCTCCAAATGCAGTCAGTCCATTGCTTTAGCATGTGTCACATTGTAGTTTTACCAAGTTCATCCTTTGCTTTGGGTCATGTGGGGGTGGGTTTCCTTGGATTCTCTATGTACACTGCTATGTCCAGTGCAAATGTGAGCAAGCTGCTTCTGCATGTGCTTGTCTATGTATTTGTGTATCTACCTCATTGCATTTTTCTTTCTAATCACATGTATTCCTGCTGGAAGGGAAATGGAGAGGAGCTGGGTTACATGGAATTCTGGCTCTCGGTAGAAATATATCCTTTTACCATGTTAAGAAAGAAACTCTCCCATTAAAGAAAAAAAGAATAAGAAAGAAACCGTTGTGGCTAGAGTTTGCGGTACTTGCTGAATTTTTTTTAATGAAAGCAATTGTTTACCATTTTGCCATTTATTATGATTAACTATCAGTTAGTTGTGCCATACCCACTCTTGCATTTCTGGAATATTCCCCACCTGATCACAGGGGACATCATTCTCCCATGGTATTGCATTCTGTGTTCTTGATTTTGTGCTTGATGAGGCATGGCGCCTGGCCTTCCTCCAGCCCTGGGCTGTGGCCCTGTTGTGTACTGTATGACTCCTCACCCCACTTCTAGGCTGCATTAACTAAACCAGAACTAAATACCTGACCCAAATGGCAGCTGTCAGTCATCAGAGCTGGCTGGAGATGATGGACTTGCCCTGTCAAGACTGTGAAATGCTAACAAGGTAACTGAAGCTTCTAGTTAGTGTTGAACCATAGAGGGAACCACAAGGTATTTAGAGGATTTGCCCCTGTGTGCAGCACCAAGTTGGAGATCCATGGGTTCCTGCTGGGCTCCCCAGAGCTCCTTCCATCCCAGCACCCAGAGGGAGCCTGGCTACATTATGTTCTTAAGTTGCTGGTGGCTGCCCTTACCAGTCCACATGTGTCCCCAGCATAAACCTCCCCTCCCCTATCCACCTTGAATTGAACCAACTGGAATGGATCTCTGCTTTTTGCAACTTGTCAAGAACCATTTGCATTTGACCATTTGGCTGCTACTTAAGAAGAATTATATTGCTGGCTTTCCTTTCATTCTACCCAGCCAGCTCTCCTGGCCCAAGGCCCACTAGATGTGAGAAACACCTGTTTAAATGTGATTCTGTATTCTGGTCACTTAATATGGGCAAAAATCTATGCCTTCTGGTCTCAGTGAGTTAACCACTGTCTGAGTATTGTTCCATTCCTGAACATGTGTTTGGCCCAGAAAATGAATTCATCATAGCCCATTCTGTTCTCTATTTCAGAAATGTTTCACTGTTTCCAGCAAATCCACCAGATTGGGGAATTGATGGCTCCTCTATTATAGTGTACTTATATTCTGTAGTTCTCATTGCATCGGTTTGGATATTTACTTTCAGAAATAGAAATCATCTCTTTAAAGTTGACCCTCAATGTTACTTGTGTGTCTCTGAGAATAGTAGCTACATCCTGCACCAGTTTGTATTTCTGTTTTTGGCACTCTTTTTTTGTTCTTCTCCAGTCTCATTAACTTGTCTGTTTTATGACACTCAGCCTTGCACTAGAGCTGTTTGTGAACTTGGCTTCTCCTCTCCCCCACCCACAACCCTCTCCCACCTGTTAGATTGTGAGCTCTTAGAAGACAGGGGTGGCCCTTCGTGTCTGATCCCCTACCAAATCTAGCACAGTGCCTTGCATCGAGTAGATTTCAATAAATATATGTTAAGTGGCCTTGGTCTTACTTGACTTATTTT